CAAGCATATCAAAATACAGCCCGTTCACTAAAGCATTTACACTTGTAATGCCTCTGTAATGTTTACAGCATATGTGGACAACATCTAGATACAGGTCGCTTTTTAATGGCAAATGTAAACGGGGCTTCATATATTTTGAATCTCTAATATTGATTCATTTCATGCATAATTTGAATTGATTAAGTTTCGGTCGCATGACCTTAATCGGGAATTAAAAAAAAAATTCCTGATGAAGGTCATGCGACCGAAACGTAGTCAATAAATATTTAGATTTTTTTTGCATAGTGTACGAGATTTGTTTTTTGCTTCTTAGTTTTTGACCTGGTTGGTCTTTGCCTCCAACGCACCTATCTATTGTCGTCAGGTGTGCGGAGTTTAATTGTTAATTGATGCATAATTTGAATGAAATAAAATCCTCTAAAGTGAAGTTTATTTAAACGTGGGGGGGAAATATTGAATGCATCTTTAAAACCTAAAAAAAAAAAATCATAATGACTTCACATTATTTTACTTTTTTCTAAATATTCTATATCGAAAAATTCTCACAATTGAAGTGAGTTTTGAACTGGTAAAAAACAAAAAACAAAATGTAACAAAAAAATGTTTAAAAAAAAATCCCCAGTACAATCTAATTATTAGTGATTATCAGATTAAATAAACAGTCAGCAAGCCTCGATCTATTGTCGTCAGGTGTGCGGAGTTTAATTGTTAATTGATGCATAATTTGAATGAAATAAAATCCTCTAAAGTGAAGTTTATTTAAACGTGGGGGGGAAATATTGAATGCATCTTTAAAACCTAAAAAAAAAAAATCATAATGACTTCACATTATTTTACTTTTTTCTAAATATTCTATATCGAAAAATTCTCACAATTGAAGTGAGTTTTGAACTGGTAAAAAACAAAAAACAAAATGTAACAAAAAAATGTTTAAAAAAAAATCCCCAGTACAATCTAATTATTAGTGATTATCAGATTAAATAAACAGTCAGCAAGCCTCGCGCACTTTTTACATATTTTACATTATCCACAAACAGTTATCCAACCTGAGAGGAGTCGTCGCGATGCCCATGTCCATGGTTATGTTCCACACCGTCGACCTCCACCTCAAACACCCCTGCCATCTTCTACGCTACAATCCGACTGTTCAAGACACTTCCGGGTTACATGCAACCTTTTACTTCTTCTTCGGGATTTAACGCCAGCTTGCATTCAAAGGCGTTTTACTACTGCCATCTTCCGGATTTATTTTCCTGTAACGTCAATCACATTGGAGAAATGTAGACGAGTGCAGGCGGCTGCAGTGAGGGGAGGAGTGAAATAAGTGCAGTCAAGACGGACAGTTCTGGGGCCTCATTTATAACCGTTGCGTACGCACAAAACCTGCCATGAAAAAGGCATACGCCACTTCCTAAGCAAAAGGTGGGATTTATAAAAAACAAACTTGACGGGAAATGCACTTAAACTCTGACTTGTACAGACTTTTTTTCCTGGAGAAAGAAAAGTAATTAAGTAAACAACGATTTTAAACTGTTTCCATTTCATCATATTGTAACACCGAGTTGAAATGTTAAACAGCCCAGATGGGAAACTGTGTGGGGCTAATAATGCACGGGAGACGAGAGGATGGCGTATTTTCCCGAGTTTAATAAAACACCTCAAGCACCGACACACTCGTCCACATACATGGGGGAACGAGTGAGGAAAAAAAAGTACACAAGCATCCAACTCAGGTCACAAACAGAAAGGAATAAAATAAAATAAAGATGCCGGTAGAGCAAGTTATCTCTTCACCTTTTCAACTCGTAGACACACGCTATGCACATGCGCAGATGTCAATCTGCCACAAAACTACCGTAAATGCTCTAGTGGCCGTTACAGAGTCCCCCCTGGAACAAACTGGCTGTCCTCAGCCAACAGCACTGTGAAAATACAGGACATAAACAACTCCATACATGAATAGTTGTAAATACTCCCCTCAAAAAGAAAACCAGTGGTACATGATGAGAAATACCAACATGACAGTTTTTAACTCACCAAACCACTTTGTCCTAGAATACATAAAGAAAATGTGACAAGCAAACAGAAAAGAAAACACATAGGCATTTCAAAAACCCATGGCAAAATACATTTTACAGGATAGATTTTACTTTTATAAGAACAAAACACAACAGTGTTGGTTAACCTAAAAACAGTCAACAAAAACAATAACGGTACGATATATTGTTATAACATTATGGAGACTTAGAGAAATATGTACACCCCACACTCCATTAACCCTTTAGGCGCCAGGGATTTTTGGGAAAAATGCTGGATTTTGACATGAAGATTTCAAACGCTTGTGGCTTGAAAGGGCTTAAAGATAGAGATCTACTGTAAGCTAGAAAAATGTTGGGCATGACCGAAAATTTATGTGGGGTGTAAATATACTCGTCTAATTTGCATATTATGACGTCATCAGAGGTGGCCATCTTGAATTTCATAATATTCAGGAAATAGTAGCTATTGAATTGATTTTTGAACTTATTTGCATGTTTTTTTTTTTTTATCTTTTTATCCTCATTCCAAATGATCAGAAAAGAGGAAACCAACAATAAAACAGGAGAAAGTACTAAAGAACCCCTGTCAGATATCAAGTACTTGGGAGCGCCATGCCTAGCAAACACTTCACTGAGAAGCTTACTGGCAGCAACCAAAGCTGTAGCTTCCCTCACCGCGCACACCTCAATCCACTTAGAAAAGTAATCTACAAACACAAGGATGTATGCATTTCCACTCGGCGTTCGGGGCAAAGGGCCCACAAAGTCCACCCCAGCAAATTCCCAAGGATATTGGGGGGCAGATTGGCACCATGAAGCCACCAAGCTTTCTCTGGGATGGCTTAGTGAATTGGCAGATGGCACATGAACCCACATACTTCTTCACATCTGACAGCATGTTGGGCCAGAAAAATATCTGCTTAAGTCTTGTCACCGTTTTTGTCACACCCAAGTGACCTGCGGTGGGATGGTCATGATAATACTCCAACAGAGAGCTTCTGACAGTCTGGGGAGCATGAAGCTTGAACTGTTTCATGGGGTGTAATGTACAAGAAGACTTTGGATCCTTGTGATACAGAAGTCCATCAAGAACAGCATATAGAAGATCTTCCTCGGAAGACACGTGAATGAAAAATGGAAGTGAAAACTGCGGAAACCTCAAGATAGGCAGTTTATTTTTAAGGAAAACCATAGCATTCTGACAGTCTTGTGTCCACCTAAAAGGAACATCGGCTCTCGTAAGAGCGAAAAGACGTTCAGCATGTCGGGCATATTCATGAATGAAGCGCCGGTAGTAGCTGGTTATGCCTAAAAACTGTCTCACTTGCTTGGAGTTTACTGGAGTAGCAAAGTCTACCACAGCCTGCACCTTCTCCTCATTTGGTAGAATACCCTCCTTGGTGACCCGCTAGCCCAAGAAGGTAAGTTCCTTTCTACAGAACTGACACTTGTCCAACTTGATTGACAGGCCAGCAGATCTCAGCCTAGCCAGGACTTCCTCAAGATCTCTCAGGTGTTGTTCGAACGTAGGTGAGGCGACTACAATATCGTCGAGATAAACTGCGCATGACTTGTAGATGAGGCCTGCCAGCACCGTGTTCATGAGCCTCTGAAAAGTGGCTGGGGCATTGCACAGGCCAAAGGGTAGAACACGGAACTGGTACACACGCTATGCACATGCGCAGATGTCAATCTGCCACAAAACTACCATAAATGCTCTAGTGGCCATTACAATATACATTTACATAAAATATTCCACTCCCATTAATGGAGATAAGCACTGAAATTACATAAAGTCATTATGCAGAAGAAACTCTGCGGACCCCATACGGGTCCAAAATCGCGTTAAAAATGTTTATGCTTCATTTACATAGCCTTCCTTATATGGTATCAGCCCATATATGGGTTA